CAGAGTCTCGAGTTCATACAACATGTCTCTTAGGTGTCTGTCATTTTCTGCATAGCAATACCACATTATGAGCGGACCTTCAGAGATGATATTAATCACACACTTCCAGTTCATCTTAAAGATCATCATTTCCAAACACTCAGCGAGGAGTTAACGGAGTTTAGTGTCCTCCTGTTTCACGACCTCTTCTACACGAATCCGGAAGGGTTTTCGAAAAGGTGATATTTCTGAAGCAGCCACAGTTCGCTTCCTATGACACAATAATGTGACGAGTGTCGACGTGCTGTTCTTTCTGTGCGGTCTCTGTTGCGCTACGCTCAGCAATGTCGAACGGGAAGTGGAATTAACTCGAGCACTCGAACAGTTCATTCAAGGTAAAGATGTCATCCGTTGTGCTGTAGCTCCTTAACAACCCTGCCTCTTCATTTAGGTATTGTTCATCCAGACTGTTTGATAGTCCGTTGCTGATGATCTTAGTTAACAGAGTTCTTACTGAGAAAATCCTGATTTTTCTCCTCATTCGTAAGCGGCTATATTTCAATTGCGTAGAGAATTACTCATACAGCGGTCGTTTTGAACAGATAGACCGATGAGGATCTGTTCACCTTCCCAAATAGAAAGATGCTCTAGATGAAACTTAAAGTGCAGCACAGTTTTTCCTTCTGATCGTGTTGGGTATATGGTTAAACGTCTCAATAATAATGTCCAAAATTGTCCTAATAATAATAATCAAAAATATTCGTTCTTGAAATGCAGCAATATAAGGTTTTCCTCGTATTGAGGTTAGCAGAAGCTAAGAATGGGTCTAGAGAGGAAGATAGACCGGAAGTAATAAACTGTTCTGGGCTTACATCAAAAACAACCCTAAGTCTACACTTGAAAGCTGTTCACAAACTGCAGATTACGCAATGTAGCATAAAAATGCATGTTGGGAATAATATTAAGAAATTAGAACACAAGTGAATGGGAAAGCGCAGAAGCAGGAAATTGCCATGTCATTAGGTAAGTGAAAAAGTTGTTCTAAATGGCAAAGAGTAGAACACGTTCCAAGGACATTCGAATATCAGTAGATGAAAGATACGCTAGACTGCGTTTTAGGTGATTAGCGGTCCGATTGGAAGATCTTCAGACTAAGCAGAAGATCGGCTGAAGAATTTCGTTAAGCGAACATGGATAACCGCGGAAGACACAGTTTTGGGGCAAAATCTCGGATAAGCCTTTATCCAGTAGTTGATCCATCAGAAGATATAGCCAATTTTTCGATCTTTGGCCTACTGTTTCACAGAAACTAGCCACATATCGATAGCAGGGTAAAAATGTCTTGTGAAATCCGGAGAGTTGATGGACACAGCATTAACAGAGTCTTTCTTGACTAGATGATGGATGTCATCTAATTAGAAAGCACAACGCTCAAATATTGTTGAAGAATGAAGTAAATAATTGACAAAAAAATATTACACCAAATCGAGCAATACCTTTGGCAAGGGTTTTGAAACGTGACAGAGTCAGGATGTCATCGAAAGAAAGACTAGCATTAGAAGCACTTTTTCTCTAAGTATATAGAGAACGGCCATAATTAGACGTACAACCAAATGCTTGGGTCTACGAACCTATATTGAGTACCAATGCCCACGTTGTAGCTTGCCACCTTGAAGGTGAGACGACCTCAGTAGTTCAGAGGTTGTCCAACTTTCAATGAACTGGCTGCTTCTACCCCCCTCCCTTCCCCCGAGCACTATAGAAACCTGCAGCTTTGTACACACTGGCAGTCAACCATTTTTACTTACCGTAAACAGAAGTCGAAAGGAAAGTCTCTAATACTGTGATATAATTCAGATCTTGCACATGAACATTAACACGTTCATCTGTTCGATCCTTCCTGTTCAACCTGTCGTCGTTATGGGTGGGCCACGAACGCAAATCGACGCTCCTACAGTATTGCCCTCCCATTTTCGGCTTTCCACCTCCCGTCGGCCAAGCAATCGTCCCTGCGTATTTTTGAGAGCCTAGTTTGTAATGCTTGACGTCCGTCGGCTGCCTGTCAGGCGAGGCAGATGACTAGAGCATTTCCCTCATGACTCGTTGAGGACAGAAATTACGTCTGTTGCGCAATCTGTGTGTTACAAGCATGGTCGCAGTGCTGCAACGCCTTGCACACTCCTCGTTGCATGGTTCGTTGCGTTGCGATGTTCCTCGCTCTACTGTTCTATGATTTAGTGGTAGACCAATAACGGCATCGTGGCGTTGAATCGAACGGACAGCCTCCTGTCGAGTAATGACGCTGTAATGAGGTGATCAAATGGCTGATGGCCGATGCGGTCTTTATTCTCCTCTTGGTTTCTCCGTCCACTAAGCTAAGGCGGTTCACCTGACAGCCGAGGTATACACAGCTGTTGAATTCGTAGCGTTTTTCGCCGTTCGCGTACGCAAACCTGTCGGGGCGGCGCTTATTTCGAATCGGTTTCGCTTCGGCAAGGCTAACCTCGAATTCAACGGTGAGAGGTACTTCTTGCTACTACTGGGTGCTCTGTTAGGGTTGCACCGTGTCTTGTGCAATGACAGAAAAACAGCAAGTTCGTTGGCTGCTTTCCATGAATATTGATGCCGTCACTCATCAGCTTAGCCAGCTGACGAGTGACTTTGAGGGAGCGGCGAAGAGTGCTGATGAGATTCTACCTCTTTGGCGCACTCGAACGATCTCATCTTATTCAACATCGCTCGCTGAGCAGTCTAATGTGAGTTGTACAAGCTGCATTAAATTCTTTGATCAGGCGAATCGAATATTCAGTCATATGGCCAATTATATTCCTATTAGCACATGCTTCAGACGATGGATTCATAATCTCTAATACGAACCCAGACGAGTCCAAGTCATAATTGCTGCGTTTCGTCTATGGGTCGCACCTGTGCTGATTATTAATCAGCGGTCAGGCGGATCATCAGCATGTTGGTCTGACAGTATGCTCAGATGTTTCGTGCTCCCTCGCAGTGCCACACCGGCCTCCATGCTGCCCCCCCCCCAGTTATTCGCATGTCAGACACTCGATATTCATTTTTCGGCTTGAGCATGTAAAACCGGCC